GCTCATTAATAAATTAATGGTATAAATAGAAGATCTACCTATTTTAGAAATTTCCGTGAGAGGACTTGAAATCATTGGTCCAATACCATAACCAATAACGAATAAACTTAATGGCAACGAAGATTGAACGGTGGTAACACCAAACTCTTCTTTCAAATCAGCAGCAATTGGAGTGAAAATTGAAGCAGCAAGGTATTGGCAAATAGTATTAAACCCAATTAAAATACTGACTACTGCCTTTTCGCTTACAGTCCAATTATAAGGATTTTCAGGATCATTATCAGAATCCCAAGTAGTAATATACTTATAAATTTTATCTATGGGATCTTTCTCTTTTAATTTTTCATCATCATTACTAACAATAGTAGAATTAGACAGATGATTCAGAGTTATGAAATATTTTTCCGGTACTAAATAATCGGGATCTTCTTCCGGATACGAAAAAAACAGGTGCTTGGTGGCTTTATAGATGATTCTTCCTAAAGTACTATCTCTAACCAACCTTTTCAATATCATAACTTGGCCCTTGAATTAGAACCAAGTCAAAGTAGGAAATACAAGTGCTTAAGTAAGTAGTCTTGAGAAGAGCAAGAAAAAAAAAGGTGAAAACAGTGAATTATTGCAATTCTACGATTAATAATCAGCTACCGAAATTTAGAAGAACCCATTTGACACTATAATCAAATGTAAATGGATTTGAACCATAGACTTTAAACGAGAAAGGTCCAATAAACCAAAGTGTGGTAGACCAAAAGGAAATAAGCCCAAAGGAGAACGAGTCCGAACAGGAAATAAGCCCAAAGGAGAACGAGCCCGAACAGGAAATAAGCCCAAAGGAGACGAGTCCGAACAGGAAATAAGCCCAAAGGAGACGAGTCCGAACAGGAAATAAGCCCAAAGGGGAACGAAACCCACCGGAGGATATAACATATAAGAAAATCGACTTGAATTGTATGAATTATAAGAATTATAAGAACTATAAGAATATACACTATTCATCTGATGATGATACTGGATCTAGTTTCTATATATTAATATGAATCTGTGAACAAAGACTAATTAGCAAATTTAGATCTAGCTCTAAGTTTAGGGCCGTTGAAATAAAAAATCAAAGGGATCAAAGATAATAGAATTGCAATAAATCCAAGAATTGTACTACCCCAACCAACGGGGTAGTTTGGACTATTTGCACTCAAATTATTATATAGGGGATGAGCACTTAAGCAAATCAAACCACCAATTAAAGAACGGAAAAAGTTATTTGCAGCCATAACCGAAGCAACGTATCTTTTGAAAGAATGACTTAAGTACGACATTAAAGTTTGAAAACCCATATAGGCCGAAAAACCAAAGCATGCAGCACCAAGCATTGACGGGAACCAATGAATAGATGCTTTACTTGTCCAACCAAAAAGGAATATACCTAAGGGCATAAACATTGCTCCTACGAAGGCAATACTTG